TGGAACAAATAAACTCAGAAAAGAAAATAATTAGTAATACTATATGATTAATATATACAAAAAACATGTAATTAAATATGTGTTCACAAAATAAAAATAAAAAGATAAGTGAACATAATAAATTAAATAAATAATATAAATAATTAATTAATTTACAGAACGTAATAATTAATTATTTACGTTCTGTATATAAATTTTGTGCATTATGTAATTCCAAATGTCTTAAATCAGGTTCAAAATTTATACAATCACTATCTGCTGATTGAAAATGAGATCGAATTTTACAAATGGTCGAAATGTTATCATTAGCTAATCGATTACGTTTCTTACATTTCACATCAGTTACCTACAATTGAAAATATACGTTCGGCTTCAGCATTAGAGTGAGGTAAAGATAAAACAGCTTCTACTATCAATTCTAAATTAGGAAACATTTTTTCTTCATTATTATTTTCAAAATTTAATATTTTTTGCCACATATCTATTTCTAAAGAACTTAATTCATTTTTTTCTGTATCATTAAAAACTGTTGGTAAAATTCGCCATTCAAAAGCAAGATGTGAAATATCAATATTTCCTATTTTTGTAGCAATCTCCGATAAATCTTTAAATTTATCTCTACTTTCAATATAAAGCGCAACTTTAGGATCTAAAAAATTTAATTGTTTAAAAAAAGGATCGTTATATGGCAAACGTTTTATCATTTCTTTAAAAGTTGTTTTATAAAAATCTAAACATTTATATTTTATTTGTTGCGCAAATTCGGAAGACTGTGTTATTAAGAAGTTTTCACATTCTCGTCCAACATATATGTCGCTCAGATGTTTTATATTCTTTTCATCGTCTATGTTTAAAATAGCGATGTTGTTCAATGCCTCAAAAATAACAAAATTTTGGGCAATTTGAATAATTTAATTGATTACTCTTAATAAATAATTTATGAATTAAGATTTTGCGCGATTGAAACAAAGCATTAAAATTGTTGAAATAATTTAATAAATATTTTAAAAATAAAATGTAAGCTTTAACTTCATTATCAGTTAATAATGTTAAAATATCTTCTGCGGATTTTGATTGATCTTCTACAATTGCGCTAAAGTGAAATAACTTTTTAATACATCCCAATTATCAAGCAATCTTTCAACACATTTATGTAATACTAATCATCTAGTGTTACATAATTTTAAAATTTTAGTCCTTTCTACATTAAAAAAATCTTGAAATTCACCTAAAATTGCACAACGTTTTGCACTGCCCGATATGTAAGTGGCAACTCCTCTAATTAAATGTTCACAATTTTGTGGTAATTTTTCACAGGATTTACTTGCAATAATCGCGGAAGAATGGTAAATACAATTTAACATTAATAAATTTGGAGTTTCAGATTTTAAATGTGAATAAAAAGAATTATTTCGACCAATCATTACGGATGCATTATCGCTTGCCATTCCAATGATATTCTTTAAAGGAATTTCGTTCTCTAAGAAAAAGTTTTTAAAAATTTCAAATATTTTTTTGCACTACAATCTGTGGCATCTAAAGTTAATAATTCAAGTAATTGAGTTTTTACTTTTTTATCAAATGGCGAAACATATTTTATAAGCACGCACATGAATTTTGTATCCGTAATATCTATGCTTTCATCTACTAAGATAGAAAATTTACGAGTTTTAAAAATTTCAATTAATTTTTCTGTTTCCCGTTTAGCTATAATATTTTTAACAATATTGGTACACTTGAGTCGACCCAGTGAGAAATCTTGTACAATATTAGGTTCCGAAAAAAATATCTTTTATTAAAGGTGTTAAATGATCAACCGTAGAAAAAGCAATATTGTGCTCAGCAAAAAATGCTGCTAATTTTATTTCCGCTCTTTTTATCTTATCGTTATATGAAATATTGTTATTTTTAAGGCTTTGATTTCGACCTTTCATCTCATATACATGTTTAACTGTTTGTGAATGTCTTAACAAATTTGTTTTATACAACACCTAATGCTGACATTACACGCGGTACATAGAGCTTTATTTATTTCGGAATGGGGAGCCAACCATCCTTTAAAAACGTCTTCATGTAACCAAGAATTTTGAAAAGTTCTACTAATTTGTTTTTTAATAGCTCCTTTAGCGACATTGGAATCCATATTGCACAAATATATGTATAAATATTATTTTACTTACATCTAATTGTCATTCTGGTCGGATCCCGCCAAAACTATGGGACTCTACTCTCATCCTCTGTATTACTCTGTCTGTAGTGACCGTTATACATTCCTGGATTTCTCCAGCGCTGCAGTGCGCATGCGCTAAAAGGGGGCTCATCTAACAACACTGTTCGGAGGCCTTCCGGGTACACGATCTGCACAAATTATTTTTTATTATTCGTCTCTAGTCTCAGACATTACACAGGAATTTTTACATTTTGGTTCCGGACTCTGAGACGAGCGTAGGAAATTTTCGAGCGCTGGTACGTGCGATCGCGCGGGCGTTTGCCATTATTTGAAGGGGTTCCCATACCGTTATCTCTTCGAATTATTTTTTTTATCGTCAGTGATATCAGACATTACTGTCGTTCTTTTAGATTTTCCACAGGACGCGGGGACGAATAAGAAAATTTTGATCGCAAGTATGAGAGGACTCGCAGGATTTTTTAGTCATTCGGTTTTCTTCGCGGACCGCGATCTTCGTTTGAAATTGGACATACATTGGAAATTTTTGGACACATGTATATATCCGTGATCTCCGATTGTCTGTTATTTCAGTGTGTGGTTAGCTTTAATTTTCACTCCTGGGGGGCTATTCTGTACACGCTTACTGACAACTGTCGGTATCGTTAGTAACGTCGGTCGACGAATGTCGCTAAATGCGATTCTGTACCATGGTTAACGATAAATATTTGTCGTTCATGAACGATACTTATCGTTCGTAGACGACAACCGTCGTTATTCATAACGAGACCCCCCCATACGTGACGGTAACGTTTAACCGACAGATTTTTTGACGATAAATCCTGCTAAAAAAGATTAAGATTCGCCGATTCGTATGTGGAAAGTTCGGTTTGGCGATTCGGCTGCGATTCGGGTGACTCAGAGAGAAGATTCGTATTACCAAGTTGTAAGAGGTAAGTTTATTTCAAATATTGAACTATTGAATGTAAATTAATTTAGAAAAATGTCCTTTTGGTTTGAGCTTTATATAGTGGGCCAAAAATTTAAGGTTGAAATTTCGCAACTAAATGTCTCGTCATATGCACGTGGCTCGTCTTTTATGTGTCTAAGTTATATTCTGTTTTACGCATGCTGCGTATGATGTATCATGGATATCCTTGTTGTTTAAAAAGTATTAAACAAGGGTAAAAGGATAAATCATGCGCATTATGCATGAAACAGAATGCAACTCTAATCTTATATTTAGCTGTAAAATTTTAACCTCAAATTTTACATTTGTAAAAGTATAGTTACGTATACTTACTCATTTGAAACTGAGTAAGTAATGAGTAGTAACTATAAAATTATAATATAATGTAAATATAATGTATATATAATGTATAAAATGTATAAATGTATATAATGTAACTATATAATGTAATTATAAACAATTTTTCCGAAAAAAAACGGGAATTTTTCCGGTTTTTTTCCAGCAACTTGAAAAAACCGGTTTTTTAAAAACTATAATAGAAATTATGATGATAAATGATAATTAATATTTTCGAACGTACCAGTAATAAAATATATATAATTACATATATTTTATATTAAATCAGTTACATTTTCAATTATTTAAATTGCATACCGTTTGCCACTGCTTTGTCATCTTTCCGGGTCCCGTACTTAATGAATTTAAAAGTTTTGTCAATCTTTCCCATTGTTGAGCATAATGAATTTTACCCTCTTTACCCAAAAACTTTCCTGCAGCGAACTCTGAATGAGACTCCATGTACTTTACCAATTCTTCGTATTGCACTTGTGTTGTGCGTGTCGCACGAGATTTTTTTGTACTAATTGTAAAAGAGTAACAAATAAAATAAGTTAACACATAAGTACAATAAGTATTATCTTATTAAGCTATATGCAAAGAACTATTATGATTTAATATAATATGTATTACTATAACTGTACCGTATAATTAATAAAAATTATATAAAATTTAATACTATTTTTATTATTATATATTATATACCTTACGTTATTATTGTACGTATATTCATTTTATAAATGTATAATTCCTTACTAATTTACATAAACATTTCATTTATACATATATATATTATATATATAATGTTTATGTAAATTAGTAAGGAATTATACATTAATAATTAATATAATATATATATATAGCAATAATGTAAAGTATATATAATATACTTTATATTATAATTATATATAATAATAAAAATTGTATTATATATTATATGTATATACATACACACTTTAAATAAATTAGATATACATACCTTCCTTGTGAAGCCATTTTTATTTAGATTTTATTATAAATTTTAACCTATATATAATTTATAATAACCATCGACATCTAGAATGGACCGCTGATGGTAATGGTGGGGGTAGAAAGACGATTAGAGAGAGAGAGTGAGAAGCAGGAATAATAAGATCGTTCTTTCTCTGTTTACTGAAGCCTGATTGGTTGTTGTTAATCCAACAGTAATGTATGCTGTGACAAAGGGTACCTCTGACCAAAAGCGAATATGTTGTTGCTTGCATAAAAGAAATCTTATTAAAATGACAAATTATTGTATTTTGTGCAAATCGTCGGTAACCTCTGCATCCAGTTATCACAGGTAAGTATATTTCATATATAATACATATTTATATCATTGTTAAATTAAAGAGGTTAACTCATCGATGTTGATTGGTTAACCATAATATAAACCATGCATAATACTGGTCATAATATATGTTATTGCTATGCATAAGGCGGTTTTATTTATTATAGTCTTTACTGAGTACTCATACACACACACATACAATAGTAAGTTTAATATTTGTAAACTACATGCTGTTTCTTTTTCTTCATAGTGCAATTGTTGTTTAAGTAAATTCAGCGAGTTACAAATAAAGATATGTAAAATGAGAGAAAGAGAGAGAGAGGGGAGGGCGACGGGAAAGGAAGGAGAAAGATAGATAATTAATGAGACAATGTTAATATTCTAATTTACAGGTTCCCGAAAGATAAGGATAGAAGAAGCAAATGGTTGCAAGCAATCAAGATGAATCAAGTTTCACAATTTGCTCTGCTGTGCTCCAATCACTTTAAATTGTCAGATTACCAAGAAACATTATATGGACTAAGAGGGAGACTTAAAAACACTGCTATTCCCGAAATTACTTCACAAAAAATCAATTGTGATAACATAGCATCATCTAGTGACAAAGAATTTCATATTGAAATACAACAGGTACTTGGAGAATGACTACATAACACAGTGATCAAGTAATTTTCAATATAAAAATATACCTGTGGCACACATTTTCAGAATACATGTAAGAAAGAATCCGGTGAAATTAAAATAGAAGAATGCAATATGAAATGTAATGATGGTGCAAAAGATAATCCTAACTCACTGAAAAGGTTTAATAGTACTTTTTTAACTAATATATATTGTTATCTCCATAATACCTATAGTAATGTATTCTTTTTCCAGAAAATCAATGGAGAATAAAGAAGTAGACTTTCCTTTGAAACATATTAAATATATAAAGGATATTAATGTATGCCAAGTATCTAGAAATCCGGACGAAGCGGCAATGGTATTAGACGTTGCAATAGAAACAATTACAGAACAGGCAAAGAAAATACAATATTTGCAAGTGCAGGCATGTAAACTAAAAAAGCGAGTGCAGAACTTGACTGAGTTAAATAAACATTTACACGACAATAATTTAATTTCTGAAGAAGCTTTAGAACATATGAACGTAAGTATTTCTTAAAATGCGTATGTGTAATTATCCTATACTGGGTGCATCCATCGACATCGATAGATGCATCACTATAAGTCATAACTTAATAATAACATGTCCAATACAGCAAATTATTGTCAAGTTGGCACAAACGCTTTGTCAAATTCAGTCGCCATCTATATCAGCAATAAGTTGTTTTTCAGACAAAATCTGTGACAAAACTAGACAATAAATTAGCAGTAAAAACCGAGCATATTTGGCATAGCATTGCTTACAAACTTGCTTAGTTTTTACTGTCAATTTGCTATTAAGTCATATTTATTCATAAATACATTTATCTGTATTTTACAAATTGTATATATTGAAAATGTTACAGCTCTATGCTCCTGTTGTAAAATCCATAATCCAAAAACTGTTATCTAAACATCATAAGTTTACCACGTTCCCTCCAGAATTGCAGACCTTTGCAGCGTCTTTACACTTTTATTCTCCAAAAGCATACGAATATGTACGAGAAACGTTTTTAAATATTTTACCTCATGAAAGTACGATTCGTTCCTGGTATACCAATGTGGATGGTAACCCTGGAATATGTAAACCTGCGTTACAATTTAAAAAAAAAAGGCAGACATTGCGCGCGAAAAGAATGAAGTAATCCTGTGTTTCTTAATTATGGATGATATAACGATTAAAAAAAAAGTGGAATGGTATACAAATGATTATGTAGGATATATTACTTATGGAAAACACATGAATGACATTGATTTACCTAAACCTTGTCTAACAGCTTCCAGTGTTATTGTACTTATGGTTGTAGATGTCAATGGTCATTGGAAGCTTCCAATTGCGTATCATTTTATAAACTCATTGAGTAGCATGGAACGAGCGAATATAGTAAATGATACATTAATATTTCTACATGAAACCGGAGTTTTAGTCACTTCCATCACCTTCGATGGACCGCGAAGTCACTTTGCAATGGCTAGACAATTAGGTGCGAAATTAAACGTTGACGACGATTTGCAAGTTTATTTTTTACATCCGATTTCAAAAGCAAAAATTTTTACTTTTGGATCTGTGTCATATGTTAAAACTGATACGCAACTCGTTTGGAAAACTGCAAGTCATCGTTGACGGAGATGGTAACATTATAAATTGGTCTTTACTGGAGAAATTGATACAATTTCAAGAACAACACGGTTTGCATGTAGCAACTAAAATTAGCAGACGGCATTTGAATTGGCAGAATGAAAAAATGAAAGTTTCTCTGGCAGCTCAAACGTTAAGCAACAGTGTTGCAAAAGCATTAGCATATTTACGTGACGACTTGCAGTTACTAGATTTTAAAAACAGTAAGGGTACTGAAAAATTTTGTCTCATGTAATAAATGAAGCATTCGATATATTGAATTCGCGCAATAAATTTAATACTGATCACAGAAAATGCCTATTTCAGACCGTAATATTTGTGACATTCGAAGCAAAATCGCGAATTTTGTAACGTACATAAAATCATTGACTGTTAATGGTGAATTAATTATTCGCTGTAATTGTAAGATAGGATTTATTGGAATGATAATTTCCTTACATAGCGTAATAGGCATCTTTGATACTTGGATCGTATCAATTTCTTCCGTTCATTACTTATTGACTTATAAACTATCACAGGATCACCTTGAACTATTTTTTTCGGCAGTGAGAAGTTGTGGAAATAATAACAATCCTACATGCTTGCAATTTATTGCAGCATTTAAGAAACTGTTAGTACATGCTCAAATTAATGGTTCCAAATATGCAAATTGTTTGACACAAGATAACACACCATTTTTGCATATATTACCGGCAGAATCAAACAATTTAGATGATATAAGCATTCATGATGACAACATTGACTCGTGTACAGAAAATCCAAATGTACACGAAGATCATGATTATGACTTACACTTAGCTTTTCATAATTTAAATAAAAGTTACATTGACGATATTGTGGCATATATCGCTGGATTTATTGTTTTTAAAATAGACAAGGTAATATCTTGTGATATTTGTAAACAATTATTATATGACAATGTATGCCATTCCAAATTACAAGCCTTGAAAAATCGAGGAAAATTGACTAATGCCTCGGCGGATGTAGTAACTTTATGTAAAATAGCCGAAATAACGTTCAGAGAGAATATATTGATTCTGTCAAAAAAGAATATCCTGCATACGTTATTAGTTGCAACTAAATCAAAAGTACCAAGTCATATGTTTAGCAATACATCTCATTCTTTAGGTCAAAGTCATCAAAACAACCACCGTTTGATTAACATAATACTCAAAAGATATTTTAAATTGAGATGTATGTACCCACTATGGCAAATCTGAAAACGCAAATGTTGAAAGAATCAGGAGTAAATTCATAAAATTAATATATTTTAAAAATCAATGAAGGTATAAAAACTATTTCTATGTTTTGTTTTTCGGTCATACTAATTTTAAGTTACATATGTACTTGTATTATTTATATATATGTTTCAATTACGTAATAATATTTTATATGTAACATATATATTGTATATGTGGTGTATTACAAATAAATCAATAATACTGCTAATAATATTTTATATGTACATGACATTTCATTATAAAAAAATAAAAAAATCAATTCTGTCGGTATTTATTATTATGACCAGGGCCCTGTTACGATGTGTTAGACTCCTGCTCGAAAAGAAGATGGAATGATCTTATTATTTCTGCCTTTCACTCTAATCGTTTTTCTACCCCCACCATTGCCATCAGCGGTCCATTCTAGATGTCTTCTTCTTATTAATTTAATAGGCCCAGGCCCTCGACACAACGAGGTGAACATGGCCATGCTTACTAATCACAGTTAAAGCCGGAATCGCTTTTCAAAAAATTAATGAAATGATGCAATACCCGAAGTAGGGCAGACGAGCGTCCGTCCTACTCGAGCAAGCAAACGAGACTCCATTCTAGATGTCGATGATAATAACTTTATTATAACCTCTAACTATAACTTAAGCAGAACAGCAAGTCACGATAACATCAAAATGACATTAAAATGAATAAAAAATGATTGAAAAATGACTTTTAACGATCATTTTGATATCATTTTGACATCATAATGACTTGTAGTTCTGCTTATATATTGTTGATTTTTACCAACGTAGATTAACTTTAATCTCGGTTTGTATTATCTTTTAATAGAAAATTTTAAGAATTATAGAGATAAAAAATAAATTAAACTATGATTAAAGTTAATTTATAATGGTAGAAATAACTTATAATACTCTTTGCTAACTGCCTACCAAAACTCCCGCGAATTTCTTTTACAACTTTAACGCTATTGGTTGAGAAACATTATTCTTTATATTTTTTCCAGTCTGTACTTTATCGATAGAATCGTAGCGACGGCTGTCGCTTGCAACGATATGTGTCGTTAGAGATGGTGTACAGAATAACGTTCATCCATTTGTATCGGTCGTGCAAGCGACCGATGTCGGTATTATACCGAACCGACAGTTGTCGCTACGCATGTACAGAATAGCACCCCCAGGAGCCGTATTCTGGGGGGCTATTCTGTACACGCTTACCGACAA